TTTCAGTGGACTGATGTTTGTGAGCGGAGTTTCTAGGCATTGAAGGATAAATTGACTTCAGTGCTAGTTCTGACACTCCTAAAGGGTATTGAAGGTTATGCTATCTATTTTGCTGCTTCGTGCATTGGATTGGGCTGTGTTCTACTGCAGCATGGTAAGGTTGTAGCTTATGCTTCTAGACAACTAAGAAAGCACGACAAGAATTACCCAACCCATGATTTAGAGTTAGCCGCGGTAATTCATGCACTAAAGATGTGGAGGCACTACTTGTATGGCCTTCATGTTGATATCTATATGGATCATAAGAGCCATCAATATGTCTTCAAGCAAACAAAATTGAATTTACACCAAAGGAGATGGTTGGAGCTACTGAAAGACTATGACGTTGATATTTTATTCCATCCAGGGAAGGTGAATGTAGTAGCCGATGCCATTAACCGTAGATCTATGGGTAGCATGTCATATTTACAGCCAGAGAAGTGTGGAATAGCCCATAAGATTCATCAGCTAGCTAGTCTTGGAGTTCGATTACTAGATTCAGGTGATACCGGAGTTACTATTCAGGACATAATAACATCCTCTTTAGTGACTGAAGTGAAGGAACGCCAGTATGAGGATCCTGTGCTAGCTCATTACAGATATACAACCCCTCAAAAGGAGAAGACACCATTTGAGATTACAGGAGATGGAGTCCTCAGATATCGAGGTCGATTATGTGTTCCTAATATGGCAGGGTTGCGCCAGTAAGTTATGGGATAAGCTCATTATTCTCATTATTTTATTCATCTAGGAGCAACAAAGATGTATCATGATATCGAGGGAATATACTGGTAGGAAGGAATGAATAAGGATATAGCAGAGTTTGTTGCTCAGTGCCCTAATTGTCAGCATGTTAAGATTGAGCATCAGAAACCCGGTGGATTATTGCAGGCTATAGAGATTCCGACTTGGAAATGGGAAGTGAATAATATGGATTTCATCATAGGCTTACCTCGTACCCAGCGTAAGTTCAATTCTATATGGGTTATTATTGATAGACTTACAAAATCAGCCCATTTTATGCATGTTAGGACTACGTATTCAGCAGAGGATTATGCAAGGCTTTACATTAAGAAGATAGTACGATGTCATGGTGTTCCTATATCTATTATTTCGGATACAGGTACTCAGTTTACAACTAATTTCAGGAGGTCCTTCCAAAAAGGATTGGGGACTCAAGTAAGTCTTAGTACAACATATCATCCCCAGATAGATGGTCAAGCAGAGCGTACTATTCAGACACTGGAAGATATGCTACGGGCGTGTGTGATGGACTTCAGGGGTAGCTGGGATGATCATCTTCCACTTATTGAGTTCACGGGTAATAATAGCTATCATTCAAGCATCCAGATGGCTCCATATGAAGCTCTTTATGGACGGAAATGTAGGTCACCTATCGGATGGTTTGAGGTTGGGGAAACTAAGTTAGTAGGACCATAGTTGGTACAACAGTCAGGTGAGAAGATTAAGCTTATACGAGAAAGGCTATTAGCAGCTTAGAGTCATCAGAAGTCTTATGCAGATAATCGATGACGAGACTTGGAGTTTCAGGTAGATGACTGGGTATTCCTAAAGGTATCACCGATGAAAGGCGTTATGAGATTTGGTAATAAAGGAAAGCTTAGCCCTCGGTACATTGGACCATATAAGGTCATACGCAGAGTAGGCCATGTAGCATATGAGTTAGACTTGCCTTCCAACTTGGAGTTAGTACATCCGGTTTTTCACGTGTCTATGCTCCGCAAGTGTATTGGAGATCCTTCTAGAGTCGTTCCAGTTGACGATGTTCAGCTCACAAAGCAACTATCATATGAGGAAGCTCCCATTGCTATACTAGATAAACAAGTTCGGAGATTGAGAACTAAGGACGTAGCTTCAGTTAAAGTACTTTGGAGGAACAAGAATGTGGAGGACATGACTTGGAAAGCTGAAAAAGACATGAAGTCTAGGTATCCTCTCTTGTTTCTGCTTCTGGAGGAGGATTGGACTGAGACATCACAACCTTTAGGTACGTATATGGTACTTGATTCTTATGTTAGATATTGTCATTGGTCGTGTGAGGCCATTGGTGTTATTGATGAATGTGGCCCCGTATGGATTTGTGTTGTTAGATTTTCTACCTGACGGGTTGCTAGTAGTACTGTTATAGAGGAGACTGTCAAAATGTCTATAGATCTTAGGGAGTTTAACATTCGAGGACGAATGTTTCTAGGGGGGTGATTGTTACACGTTGTGCGTCCCAACGTGACGTATAATGAATATGAGACTTGTTAATCATGATTTAAATATGTTTAAAGTCATAATATGACTATATATGATGTTTGGATAGAAAATATAAAGTTTGGAAAAAGTCGAATTTAAGTAGCGGAAAAAGCGACTAAGGATTTGCCTTGTAACAGAGCTTTGTTTTTAGAAATAAATTTCATATGCTATATGGGGTCTTTATGGGACATATTATATACCACATTTAAGGTCTTGGAATTTAGTTTCTAACTCTATTGACCGTTTGTTCATACGATATCCGGATAAAAAGATATAAGCGTTGGAAGATGGGCCAATGATAGGGTTTCAAGCTAGCACCTCTTTGACTTTTCCAAACTTGATATATATAGGTCTTAAGACGTCTTTATCTTCATTTTTACATAGAACACGACCGTAGAACATCCATAAACATATCCATAAGCTCTCTTCTATGGTTTCAAAGGAGATTACTATCCCCGGGTGCGAAATCAAGAAGTGATAACATTAGAACAATCCCAACGACGTAAGTATCGCTATATCACCTCTCTTTTTCTTTGTTGTTTGAGTTTTGGAAGACACTTCACTTCATAGTTAAGAAAACGTTTAATTTTTGTATTTAAGATTTAAATATCAAGGAAGGTTGATTCATTTCGTAATATTTAGAACTCACGGGACGGTGATCGGAAGCCGTGAGTTCGATTTATTTCACTTTTAGTGGACTATTTTGTAGTCCACTCGTATTGGCCTATTATGCTGCTGATTGATGGAGTTTGGAAGGATGAATGGCATGGATAAACACCACATGTGGTAGGGTATTAATTTGATCGCTCGTCGCTACAATTTCAGGTTAATTGATAACTTATTGATTGGGTATGTTATGGTATATTTTGGGGTTTTATTGTATTATAGGTCCTGAATGGTAGTTGAGTTATTTTCGAGTTGCTGATTATATTATGTTTGTATCTTGCCTATAGTAGGCTTGAGGGAGCAGTGAAATCAGGGGAAATGCTGCTCGTTTTATCTTAAAATCGAGTTATCATTTGAGATACGTGATATACTACCGCTATCTAACTTGTACACGTATTTCTTTGTTATAGGGTTGGCGCGCTAGTTGTCATAAGATTGTTGTTGAGTTGCATTGATGCCTTGAGGTATGTTAAGGATATCAATTCTTTCCTTTTCTCATGATCCATATAATACAAACGAAACGTGTAAATGCTGAGCTTTCATAAATGACTTTATTCATAGAAGTACTAGGCATTCCTATGTTCTCGATTCCCTATATGTCCCACTTTAATATTGTATGTTCATGGGTCTCATGATATTTCTTAAGATATTATTGACTTACTTCATTATGCATTTCATCCATTTATACATATATATTGACCCATGACCAGATGGCGTTATATACGCATATAGTATATGTATATGAGGTATGGGAAAAGGTTATGGTATTATATACGCACCACCACCTGATCATCTGGTATACGTTTATGATTTTGCCCACATAGGCTGATATGATATGATGGGATGCCCTCAGAGGCTTGATGATGTTATGTACGCATATACCTATGCATGATATGATATTTATATGCATATACATTACATTATAATTGTTTTATGATTCATAAAGCTATTTAGACTTACAGGTTGAGTCCTTTACTCCATGTTTCTTTCATGTCTTCTATATACTGATTTTAATGCCTTACATACTCGGTACATTATTTGTACTGATACCCTATTTCCTGGGGACCTGCGTTTCATGCCCGCAGGTGCAGGTAGACAGGCTGACGGTCCCCCTCCTTAGGATCCTAGCTCAGCGAGAGTTGGTGTGCTCCATTTGATATGTAGCTGCTATTAGGTTTTGGTACGATACTTTTGTGTATATATATAAGGGTATGATGAGGCCCAGTCCCGTCCTTTATATAGTTTTACACTATATTAGAGATCTGTAGAAAGTCATGTATAGTTGGATAGTATGTGGCCTTGTCGGCTCGCCCTACTATATTCCGCATGTATATGTATATATGTGTTCTGAGTATGTCTCCTCACATATGTTATTCACACGATTCAGCAGTTTAGGGGCAGATGTTATGCATGCATGACCTACACTTATTTCATGTTTATATCTTCACTACAAAACAAATAGCGTTTAGCGACGGACATATGTCGTCGCTAAATATGTTATTTCCGTCGCTAAACTAGTTTAGCGACGGATTCAAGTTGGTCTCTAAAATGCTCGTAGCTAAGCTCATAGCAACAAAAAATACAAACCGTCGCAGATCTAGCGACGGATTAGCGAGGCAATATATCCATAGCAAAGTTTAGCTACCGAAAATTTGTCGTTGTTGTGCTTGGTTTCGTCGCTATTTTGACTAATTTTGTCGCTACAATTCATAATAAAATTCTTCGTTTGTTCTGATTAGTAATAAAAGAATCCGTCGCTAGTTCTTCCTGCTTCTAGCGATAAAAATCTTTTGTCGCCAATATGTCACAAGATTTAATTTTATGTGTTAATTTTAGCTACGAAACATATTTGTCGCTATTTCATTTTTAATTTTTAATTAATTTATTATTTTAAATGTACCCTGTTCAAGGATATTACAAAAATGCTATTAAATACACTTAATTAAAAGTGACTAGCATTAATAAAAATTAACATTCAACAAGGTCCAAAATATATATCATAATACATATAACTGTATCGTTAAGTGCAAAACTTTCACAAGCACCAGCAATAAAGTCTAAACAAAATAGGCTAACTATGCGAGGCTGGAGAGTCATGGTCATCATCAAAATCCAATGCATGAACCTCATCAATGTTAGCAGCAGTAGAAGAGGTAGGAACTGTAGGTGCCACATCTGATTGGTGGTTAGTAAGATCAATATTTTGCTGATGCGAGGGTAAAGAAACTAATTAGCGTGCCCGCTCAACGATTATATGAACTATATGATCTGTCAGTACATGAATCAATCGTGTCACTAACTCATCCATATTCCCTATCGGTGTCGATTGAGCATTTGAAGGTGTTGCTGAGGAAGTTGCACCAGATCCATAAGAGTCACGAAGATTCGGCACGTAGTAGCATTTTGCTTGAAATCCAATACCATATACTGTTCTTTTCTTTTCTACTCCCGCAGCCTCGTAATATGCTTTACATTTATCAATATCAGATTGACTCTGTGTTTGTTGTTGTAATATTTTCTGATACTTTTCATGTAGAAGAGTTAATAATTAGTGAAATTGAAACATTAAAAAATATTGAGTATTCAATTTACAAAATAAAAAAATATATGAAAGTAAAGTCAATAAAATCATTTAAAAAGTTGACTTACATGTATGATTCGGGATTTCTCACCAACACAAGATTTTCCATCATTACCTTGTGTATGGACGTGCAAATATATCTCACTTGGTGTTGGATCTCGACCCATTTTAATAGCCTATATAAAATCTATTAAATTCAAAAGATTGGCAAAAAAATATTTGTATAAAAATGGGATTGAAAAATGACATAGAGAAAAGGAAGCAACTTAAGTAAAACAGAAAAACTAAAAACTAAACAAGTTCCCACCTTCAAAATCTTGTTAGTTTAAGGCATAAGAACTTTTTTCTTTGGTGCCAAAATCTGTCTACTAGCTTAGTATTAGCTTATGATAATAATAACAAAGAAATATAAAATATAAAGGGGTCAAACTTCCAACAGTGTCACAAGGATGCATGTTTGGTGAAATAAACCTTTATACTTTTTTTTGTTTCATATCATTCGCCATGAAATCAAAAACAGAAAAATTGAATGGCTGTAACAGATGTAGAAACTCATCTAATAGTTAATAGTACTATTTGGCCAATTCCTTTAACAAACATATTTTTAATTGTTAAGAAAGGTGCACTAATTGATAAGAAAGGTGCGCTCTTGTAAATAGAAAGGTCAACAACTAGCAAAAAATAAATCAACACCTAAAATCCCTTCATCCAGCTGCTAACTTCAATTTCGGCCCACATTGACAACCCAAATTTTTCAAAAAGAAATTCTCAAACAATGATTTCAAACACAAAATATTAAAAATTGAATAAGAGACAACCTGCAACTCACAACTTCAGGCAACCGAACTTAAATAAGATTTTCAGATTTGAATTAGTGCAAACTTAAATGAGATTTTTAGATATTTTATATACACTTACAAGTCTCTTGTGATACTCCCCAACACTGATAGAGCCACCCGTGTGAGTCCCAGTAGCAACTCCGCTCTCATTACCATAACGATTGTTTGCATTTATCTCTGACTTTTCAACACACTTAGGATCTTTCAAACGTCTCATCCAACTTTGCCGCACATCATTTGGAAGAGATTTCCGTTGCACCCCATTTTTTTTAAGTTTGCTAATAAAATCATTATATCGTTTTGCTGCCCTATGATCCCATTGGTTCCACACAACAATATTAATTGAAGAATCCCAGTAGAATACTTTTTGAAATAATTTTGTAAAGTAGTAACATTAATAAATTACATATAAAAGTTAATATACTTTCTAAATTCAATTGTGATGGATTATACCATAAATTTTCCAAAATAAAATCTTTTTGTCTCGTCCAAGCGTTTTTCTAGTTGATTCCATTAGGATCAAGTTCATGCTTGAAAGAATTAGTTATACATTCAGAGTATTCTCTTGAACGTTCTAACCTGAACAGATTAGAAGATATTATTCCAAGGTATACCATATATCAATAACAATATATAAAAAATAATAGTAGAAGGATGGACTTACCCAGTGGGAAAAATAGTAAGAAGCGTCTGTGGCTCACGGGTACTGCTACATTTAACTTCGCCTATTAGGTTGCTTTGATTAGGTATAATTGGAGATGGTTCCAAATTAATAGGTAGGGTACTACCATGGCCTGATGTTTGAACTTGGTTGATGTGATCTGGTCCATCGGAGGAACTGATGTCACCTTGTTGAGGACTAGTTGTGGGAATGGGAATATTAGTCATGTTTTCACGAGTAGCACCATTACCCCTAACTAAAGATTTGCTTACACGACCTGCATTACCTCGGCCTCTCCCTCGAGGCACATCTACAAAAATATAAAAATAAAGAAGGATATGATACAATGCATATCTAACTGTATTATTAATCTAAACTTTATTAGCAAACAACAGCTTATACCATTTATACTCACTCTTATACCACTTATTAGCATACTGTATATTCACTCTGATACAACTTATACCATTTATATTCACTCTTATACCACTTATTAGCATACTGTATACTCACTCTGATACAACTTATACCATTTATATTCACTCTTATACCACTTATTAGCATACTGTATACTCACTCTGATACAACTTATACCACTTATTAGCAAACATCAGCTTACTTTATTAGCAAACAACAACTTAATTTCTTATTTCCGTTTTCTTAACTTTTTTCTTTTTGGAAGACTAATACCAATTATGTTAGAAAGAAGGGAAGCTAGCTTATACCACTTATGGTAGTTTAAATGAACATACAGATGTAATAAGAAGGCTTTGATTGTTTAAATTGAGACTTAAAAAGATGTTTACCTGAATCCTTTCCATAAATGGTGGAAATCAAATATGGTTTCAAGTAGCTTATCCAATCACATCAGACATGAACATCACTATAACCAAGACCACTAAACATTATAAGCTAACATATAAGACATGATTTGTTGATAGAATCAGAAATCGCAGGAAGAGAATGGATAAAGTGAGAGCGGATGACATAACACAACACTGATGGATGGAACTCTTTCAACTGTCTGATGAAAGAGATATGCACAGAAACTATGTATGATAGACATTGATACACTGGATGTCATAACATGTCAAGTTACAACAATAATTGTTGAACAAAGTATTTGATATTATTTATTATAATTTAAAACCAGAACACGAAACAATCCGATTAAGAGCAAAGAGAAATAAATTGTAAGGTACTCGCCTTTCTTCAAGAAACAATCAGTTGTGAATTTATTTTTCTTCAGCTAAGTGCTTACATCAACTAAAAGGAACTCGCCTTTGTTCACATCAGATGAGGTAATGGTCTGAAAAGTGAGAGAGAACAACAGTACATTTACTTACAGACCTGCTGGAGAAGTATCAAGAAACAATAATCCATTGTTAAACAAAGCAATGCAATCAATATATGCATAAGGAGACAGTAAAGAAATTGGGACCTCTGATGATTTCTTAATACATTAAACATATAGATGACTTGTACTGAAACATTTTAAAAATGAGTGTTGTAGCAGGATATTGAAGACTTGTAACATAATAAGAAACTGGCGAGAGGTGATTAATACATTCCAAATTTTTGTTTTTTGCAGGGCAGATTAGTATCAATTTAAATAATTTCATGGCCCACGAAAGAAAAACTGGAGTGATGAAAGAGAATTAATCAATGTCTCTATTTAAATACTTGTTGTCACAAGCTTCTCTAATGCAACTGGCAGCCAAATATAAATATGTTGTCTTAGACCTCTCTATCCTTATATATGAGCGCATGGATAATTTAGCAAGTCATATTATATTAGTAAATTCCAATCTATAGAAATCAATAAATAAATTAGCAAAGAATATCAATATCTGAGAACAACAATTATGCATTTCCTATTGAATTTTGACAACCGGAGACTTTCCAACTAGGGATGATAAACCACAAACACATACATCATACAAGTTAACAGTGACTTAACAAGTATTAAATATATAATCATACTAAAGAGTATTTACCAGGAGATAGAACAACTTATACAAGATTGTATTAACCAGTAGTGCTTGTAACAACCTGGTTATAGCTTGCTGATTCTTGTTGTCTCACCAAACATTGACATATATAAAGTATTTAAAATTCCATAACTATTCCAAAATGGGAGAAGTATCAAAGGATTCCCCTATCAAAACCTTTATGTCCTATCAAAGATTATTAGACATAATACAGTTTGAGATTGTAAGGAGAAAATTCCTACAAAATAAAGATGATTATTCATCCCTAACTTTCAGCTACAAGGATTTCACTTCCGATTATTCAATCTTAATATGATGACAGAACAAGGCATTAAAAACTTCTATATCATTTTACTCTGTAAGAATAATTGTATTAAGCATAAAGGAATACACATGATAATCAGAATTGAAGTTTTACAACTAACTTCGGAAACACAACGTAAGTATAACGACCCGACCGGTCGTTTTGAGTATTACTACCTCATTCCCCCATTTACTACTCAAATTATACTTTATAGTTATTTTATGACTTACCGGGTTAGTTGGTTTGGGTCCGGAGGGAATTCAGAGTGAAATGAGACACTTAGTCTTATAATTAAAATTTTAAGTTAAGAAAGTTGACAGAATATTGATCTATATGTAAACGACCTCAGATTCAAATTCTGATGATTCCAGTATCTCCGTATGGTGATTTTGGACTTAGGAGCATGTTCAGAAAATTATTTGGGGGTCCGTAGTGGAATTAGGTTTGAAATGACGAAAGTTGAATTTTGGGGAGTTTGAACAGGGGTTGACATTTTTATATCTGGGTCGGAATCCGATTCTGAAAATTGAAATACCTCTGTTATGTCAATTGTGGCTTGTGTGCAAAATTTAATTTGATAGGTTCTGGCGTTGTTTGTAGAAACTTGAAATTTTAAAATTCATTAGGCGTGAATTGGGATATGATTCATGGTTTTAGCATCGTTTGAGGTGATTTGAAGGTTTGACTAAGTTCGTATGATGATTTTGGACTGGTTGGTATATTTAGTTGAGGTCCCGGGGGCCTCGGGTGAGTTTCGGACGGTTAGCAGATTAATTTTTGAATTTGAAAGACTGCTAAAACTGAATCCTTCTGGTGTAATCGCACCTACAGATCAATGGTCGCAGGTACGAGCTGGGGTGCGCTGAAGCGAGGTGCGCAGGTGCGGAATTGCACGGGCGCCTAGGGTGGGGATTTTTGAGCGCAGATGCGGAAGGCATCTCGCAGGTGCGAACTTGCTCCTGCGCGTGGGTGATCGCAGGAGCAAAAATTTCGCAGAAGCGAGGGAAAAATCCGCATAAGCAGATGCGCAGAAGCGGTTCAAATTCTCCAGGTGCGAGACTCCTGGGCAGAATATTAAAAACATAGGAATCCGAGATTTTATCATTTTTGACATTTCCAAAAGTGGGTGAGGCGAAATTTGAGCGAGAAATCACGGAAAATTTTGAGGTAAGTCCCTTGTGAGCCTTCGTACTCCATAATATTGAATTATCATCGAATAATCCGACTAGATTACATATTTTTGAGGTGTAAATCAGGGGTTTGAACTTAGGGATTTGAAAATAAGGTTTGAAGATTTGGAGGTCGAGTTAAGGTCGGATTTTGATAAAATTAGTATGGTTAGACTCGTGGTTGAATGGGCTTCCAGATTTTGTAACTTTTGTCGGGTTCCAAGACATGGGCCCCATGGGCGATTTTTGTTCTAAATTTCAGATTTTTATGGAAAATTAGTATTTTTTATGGGATTAATTTCAATAAATGTTATTGACTGAATCAAATTATTTGTGGCTAGATTCGAGACATTTGGAGGCCAATTCACGAGGCAAAGGCATAGAGAAATATAGAATTACGTGTTTTAAGGTAAATAACAGTTTTAAATCTGGTCCTGAGGGTATGAAACCCCGGATTTTTGTGTCATGCAATTATTTTGAAGGTAACGCACAAACTAGGTGACCGGCATGTGGGTGTGTACCGAGGGGATTGTGACTTGGTCCGTCCCGTAAAACTGTAAAGTTGAATAACTTGTTGTTAGCCATATGCTCTCTATGTGTTGTAAAAATTTGACTGTAAATCATATTAGAAATCATGTTTAGATTATGTGTTGGCACTGTAGGGACCCACATTGGTCGTGTACATGTTGAATTATATGCTAAATTATTATTTTGTACTCAGTCACAACTTACTTATTATTTTATCTCAGTCTTTATTGTTCATTATTTGATGCATCATATCATTGTTGTGTGGGCTGATTTCATGATTATTGAGAGCCCGAGAGACTGGAGAGATTTATGACTGAGTGAGGCCGAGGACCTGCTTGTGAGATATTATACTATAGCACATGAGTTGTTCGTGCAACATGTGAGTTATCCGTGCGGATCCTTATATTATACTATAGCACGTGAGTTGTCCGTGCTTACAGCGCTTGGGCTGTAGGAGCCCCTCCGGAGTCTGAACACCCCCAGTGAGCGCGGGTACCCATTGAGTGAAAGTGATGAGGGCTGAGAGCCGAGTGGTTGAGCTGTTGTGACGAGTTGAGTGATTGTTGCACTGAGAGGCTGTACTTGTTTTTCATTTGTTATTGCACTTAGTTGCTATCTGTTATTGTTGTGAAATTCTCTGAAAGATTTTTATATCCACATTACATGAACTTGAATTGTATAATATTGACTTGACTTAAACTGATGGATTTGAAAGCATGTCTATTTTTTGCTGAAATTACTGAAAGTGAACTAAACTATGTAGCTCGTCATTATCTTCAGTTCCTTATTTATTATTGCTACTTGCTGAGTTGGTATTACTCATACTACACCCTACACTTCTTGTGCAGATCCAGGCATTTTCGAACATAGAGGGTGCTAATTCTCTCGCACAGTTGATTTTACAGAGATTCAGAAGTAGTTGTCGTATTTCGTAGACCTTGTCTCTCCTTCGCTATCTCCTTGTTTACCGTATTTTGGTCTTAGACTACTTTAGACCGTATTTTTTCCAGACTTGTATTCATATTAAATGCTCATGTACTCAGTGACACCAGGTTTTGGGAGTGTTTGTATCGGAAATTACGAGGCCTTTTATTAAACTCAAATTATTATGTTTTTCAAACTTTAAGAAATTGTGGTTTATTGAGATTGTCGGCTTGCCTAGTATCGAGAAAGGCATCATCATGACATGTTAAGATTTTGGATCGTGACAATAAGCTATAAATGTGTACCACTTA